AATCCCATCTTAACAAGCGCTATGCCAAATGGATGGCCTACTTGCAACAATTCACATTCTCTTTACGCCACAAATCGGGGGTTTTGAATAAGTTGGCCGATGGGTTGAGTAGGCGAACGACTCTCTTGATTGAAATGAAAAATAAAAAATGAAGTCGTGGGTTTTGATGAATTTTGCACATTCTATGCAAGCGATCCTTTTAAATCAAGAATTAAATAGAGAGAGAAAAGACAAATGCACCAATGAGGGATAAAACCCCTACGGGTTAGAGAGAGAAACCAAACTCTACTCCAATTTCAATGTATTCTTTATTCCAAAAACAAACTACAAATGGGTATTACATCTCCTATTTATAGACTACAACTAACAGGCTATTTAATACACTTAACCTAACTATATTCTACTACATCAGACTCTCCCTCTTTTAAGGAACATGTCCTCAAGTTTAAGTAGCAACGAAGTGTGCTCAATGTAACCCCATGCATTGAATCTGAGGCGAGGAATAGGCACTGCATCTCCATGCTCAACACAAACATAGCTCTCTCAATTCATCCTTCCCTGAATACAGATAACTACATCCTTAGCTAACAACCATAGGTGCAGACTGATAACAACCTTCATTTTCCTGAGCCTTCATCTCTAATTGGCACACTGGTGCAGAGATATACTCATTCAATCGGAATGAGACAAACAGACTAGCAAAAGGATAGTTTCCGAAACCACGGTGAAGAATGAGACAAAAGATGAAATGATCGACTATGCATCCACTAGTTAAGAACCATGTATGAGAAGCGAATCAAGAGCGAGAATAGCATAATGCATTATTCCTTCTGTCCCTTAGACACAACTAGAAAGTTAGCATCACTTCCATCGTCATACTCAACTCAAGCCATTGTCCAAAAAAGGCATGAAGAAGCAGGAAACACTTACAACTTCAAATAAACTCTTTGAAGTTTCAAAAATAGCATTGTACCTCTTGCAAGGCAATTTGTTGCTCATTTGCTTCATCTCATCTCTTTGATTATGAGTTTGGTTTGGAAAACATCATTGCTCCTTCCAATTGAGAAATTCATCTCGATTTTTTCACCAAAATTTGTAGCGAATGCTCTACCACAGCCTCCTAATCTCGGTTTCTTCACCAAAATTCGCAGCGAATGCTTTACCACAGCCTCCTATTTTGATCTCTATCTCTTCCTCTCTTAGCCATTATTGGATCGAAAATCGATTCACCAAGAACACAATGATTCACCCTATAAAGATGACCCGCAAGCCTTGATGTCAGATTGAATGTGTCCACTCTGCAACTACAGACTTCGCTATGTTCAACCAAGCCAAGAACCGGATTCGTAAAGTCGAAGGTCGAAGAACCAAGTGGTACGGAGGTCTTCTTTGATCAAGACTTGCGAAGATTCAAAACCAAGTCTTCAGCGAAGATTCACACTAAAATCTCGAAACCTTTCACGATGCTAGAAGAAACCAAGAACTATAATGTCGACACCACCAGACAAGGACCCAGATTAGGATAGGGCAAGATTTGCGAACTGAGAACACTTGTGCGAACTCGTTGCGAACTATAGAGACAAACTGAAATCGCAAGACCAGGAATGTCCTACGAACTTGACTCATGAAAGGGATTCAAGAACCCCCTACGAATGCCAACTCGAATCGGGAAACTATGTCACAATTGCGAACTCGATGGGTCTTCAAATTGCAATCGAAGCTTCAAATCGAGTCTGATTTCACTTCAAGACAGCAAACACAAGTCTGATTTCGATTCAGTTAGCGAAGTCAATCTGCAAGTCGTTCGAACTTAGAGGTCGCAACCTTTAAGCCAGATGCAAACTGAAATTGCAATTGAAGCTTCAAATCGAGTCTGATTTCGCTTCAAGATAGCAAACACAAGTCTGATTTCGATTCAGTTAGCTAAGTCGATCTGCAAGTCGTTCGAACTTAGAGGTCGCAACCTTCAAGCCAGATGCAAACTGAAATCGCAAGTCCAATTGGAACTCGAAATCCAAAGTTCTCATCGAAGTTAACTCAAACAGTAGCAAGTCACAAGAGAGAACCCAAGGTCAGATCGCAAAGGAGTCCAGTTCGTAATCGCGAGTCGCAGAAGCTTGAATTCGGGTTGATTGTTGAATCGGGTCAATTTCGCGATGAAGTCCCTGGCTTCTTGACAGACACAAATTAGATTAAAGCTTCAAACTAAGCTTGAATTCAAATACACAGGTCAGATTGCGATTGCTTGAACCAGGTCAGTGTTCTAGGTCAAAGATTGAATGAATCTTAGGCTTCGATGAACTCGATTTTGGCCGGCCAGAGTCATTGCGAAATTGAATCTCACTCCCACAACTCGATGAAGAGGTGTGACTCAACATTGTGAAGACAAATCCAAGTCTAGGGTTTCCTGGATCAATGTATGATCACCAAGGACTATTTGTAAAAATACAACTCTGCTGCAAATAGAGATTAGATTTCGAGAACTACACTCAGACTTGAAAGAGTTTAGGCACAAAACCTGCCACGACCCACTCCCTGTACCCAAGGGTTAAGCATCGTGATGGCCAGTAACGAAGTTACCTACGACCAATTCTTAAACAAATCAATAAATGCAAGCAAAAGTAATATTTAAGTAAGGGTACGAAAATAATCATTGGAGCTTCTATTTTTATTACAAAATTTATTGACCAAAAAGGTCGATATTTATATATAAAAATATCATAAAGGTGCTGTGTGTGTGTCTATCCTGCAGCCCCGCATCTAAGACTTTCCAAAAGCTATTTCTGAATTGCATGTTTCCTGAAAATTGGTAAACAACTATAAGCACATGGCAAAGTGAGAAATATTATACCAAGAGTATAAGGGCACATTCATCTAGACAAAATCAATGCGGACTGTGTAGAAAAGTCCTTGTAGGTTGGATCTTTAAAGATCGTGGAATCTCGATCAGGATTCAATCCTAGTTGATCCAATTTTTAAGCCTTGTTTTGTATTATATGGGCTATTTTATTATTATTTTTATATAAATTTTATGTTTGTTGCCTAAATACCAATTTTACATGGTCCAAATGAATAAATAAGTCATATTAAATCAAAATGACTAAGAAAACTAGTTAATTGAACATTCAAATGTTGATGTAATGTAGAAAAACTAACTAGTTGAAAGAACACACTCTTTTCATCTCTATCCCCTTCTCTCCAGTAGATTTTGGCATTATTTATTTGATTATGTATAAAGAGAATTGTATTATTGATTGATGTTTGTAATTATTTATTACAATGATTCATGATTCTTATATATAGAAGATGGTGAGTGTGTAGTAGGTAAGGAGTAGGTGAAGTGGAGGTGGTAGTGGTGTAGTGGGTTTAGTGGAGTAGGTGAGGTGGTAGTGGTGTAGTGGGTTAGGTTTAGTGGGGTAGGTTTAAGTGGGTGAAGTAGGTGGAGAGTAGGTGGATTTTAACAATACTAATAAAATATAACTTGTATAAAACAGATTTTGGTAAGTTAAAACATACGTAAAATACATTTTGGTGACTCAAGGTATAATATAAATCACCTTAACTTTAATACCTTACTCTTTCTTTCCACTATCAAAGACCCTTTCACCTTTCACTATTTTTTCCTTCTTCCTCTCTTATCTTTCATTCCTTCCTTTCTTCTTTTCTTTTCCTTTCTTCTTTCCTTCCTTTCTTTCTTTTCTTTTCTTCTTTCCTTCTCTCCGGATGAGACGCCTCCTCCTTAAATAGAGAGGAGAAACCACTCTGTGGCCAACATGTGGTCAGGCGTCGCTTTCCCACAGATTTAATTCATAATTATATAGATTCATTTTTATCCTTAATAGATATTTAAGATAATTACCTTTTGACCCAATATTTTAATATAATTATATAAATAAAATAATATCTAATTAATTACACTTTATCATATACCAACAGAAAATAAATTATTTATTTTACTACCACACCTATTATTATTATTATTTATATTATCTATATTATTATTATTTATATTTTGACCACTAGACTCATAATAATTATATTATTTTGTAAAATTGCGCATAATAATATATAAAAAATTATATATATTTTTCGAATTGAGATTAAATAATATTAGTATAAATTCTACAGAATAATTAAAAATCTGGGTTGTTACAGAACCAACTGCTTTGATACCAAAATGATGAAACCAATCAAGAAGGAGATTTCATTTGAGAGGGAAAATTCCAAAATAGGTGTAAGAGCTCTCAAGCTTTGAAATATTTTATATCGAAATATCATAAAACTCAATACTAGAGGAGCCTAATCTTATATTTATAGGATAAAGACCCAACTAACTCTATCTAACTCTCATGGTGCTAAACATAACAAACCAACTAACTCTAACTAACTCTTATGGTGCTAAGCATAACAACCATACTAGTTCTAACTACATCAAGATGTTAGTCCAGTCACAGAAGATCTTTTGACTTTTTAAGATAAGTCACATATTGCTCAGTAATAATTGTACATTGAAATTTTGATTATCATATGTATTGCATATAACTAAAAGAATGAGAAAGAGGGAGGACAAAAAAATTAACATATGCCAGACCACCATAAATCCTTGGAAAATTAGGGGTATGTTTGGTTTGTGTTTGAGAGATGTGTTTTAGAGATAAAAAATACAAAAAGTTGTTTGGTTTGATTTTTTTCAAAAGATGTTTTGGAAAATTATTTTGAGAGAGAGTTTTGGAAAAAGTGATTGATTTGATGTGTGTGAGAGAGAGATTTGTTTGGAAAACTTGTTTGGTTTACAAGTTTTGAGAAATTTTTTTGGAAAAATTTGTTTGGTTTGATTACTTTTAAAAACTTATTTGTAGAGAAAATTTTCTAAAAATTTTTCAGAAATACAAACCAAACGAACCCTAGGACTCTGGTGAATGATCCAAGTTTGGCATCTTTTAAACACAAGTAAACATTAAATCTCAAAAGAGCTTCAGAAGTTGAGCATAAGGGCATACCAGATTCATCAATAAACATAAAAACATTCTCCTTGGACATAAGCCTTCCAATTATCATCATTGCTCTTGCTCTCAAGATTGATCCAATTGATGCATTGCTACACAAAGATATAACTTTCAAGGCATGGAAGGAGCAAAAATGAAAAATTAAAAACATGATTTTATCATTCAATACCTTATCATGGTACTAAGTAGTTGAAGAAGGGTAGTCCTTGACAAGAACTCCGTACTATGCTGAATTTCTGCCAACTTCATCCGCCAAATACCCAGCAGAAGACAGGGCAGCATAACTCAGGTAATAATCGAAGAATAAAAAATATATATAAAAAAAACATAAATTGAGAGGCCAAAAAACTGCCGTAATCAAGAAAAACAGATTTCATTACTTCTCCTGTCCCAAGAGTAGGAGATCCTTAACAATCAAGGGTCAAGGAGACAAGTGGAACTTTGAAGACAGCAAATCCAAGAAGTAAAACTAAAACAAACTCCAAATTTAGATTGCCACAAAAACTTCATTTAAATTGTTAATTTCTGCTTCTTTAGTTCTGTTGGAGGACAACAGGTTAAAACATAGTGGAAAATTAGAAGAATTTGGAGTTCTTTCACGCAATCCTGTCTTCCTCAAGTAAAATAAACAATTTCTACTGCTACCTCCCACAATCTAAAACCACTCTAGTTTCCTAGCCATTGTAAATTACTTTAATCCAAGGTTTTATATGTCATTCTCAAAGAATAACAAAGTTACAGACATTCCAATTGAGACTTCAACCAAAATATGGAAAATTCTAGGCTGAATGACCCAAAACTTAATAGCCTAAAGTAATAGGGCCAAGAGGTTACCAGTATCTATATAATTATCAGTAGCAACGGGGGCTTCTGATTACAACGCTGAGTAATATACCAGTGCCCACATTATCCGCAGAAGTTGCATGCTGTGTACTAGATGTTTATGACACTAAGGCAAACAAATACAACCAGACGAATGTGCAAAAGATCATACCGGAGTGCGCCATCACCATTCAGGTATGCATCTATGGAGCTACACATGTACCAAGAAATTTCAAGGAACCAAGGGTAACTGTAACGGTATCACTACCACTACTCAAGTTGACACTATATCTTAGGTAAGGCAACTAGGTTTGTCACATTGTGGCCAAAGGCAGAAAGACAATATTAGTCACCATGTAAAAGAGATGAAAACACACAAGAATCACAAAGCGCATCCTCAAATTGTCATGTATTACTTCTCATTGAAGCATATCAAATGGCTGTAGCAACATGCAAAATCATTATTCTAATTTGAGTTCTAATAACAAAAGGTAATATTGATTGTCAGCAAATCCATTTGACACTAGCTTTAATTGCACATTCTCTCAACTAACAGTATAAACACAAAATAGAATGATTGCATGAGTGTTTAATGTGCTTTGTTGCACGCTTTTGGCCGTCTTTCTTTTCAAGTGTTCATGCCAAGGTTCTGAAAAGCGGTTGCGGTCGCCGTAACGGTGGCGGTGGCGCGGTTGCGGTTGCCGGGTGTAAAGGCCGTAGCGTAACGGTTGCGGTAACCAGCACCGTGAATTTTTTTAGCACAATTTAAAAAAAACTTACTGATACGCATATTTTTTTTCCATAATCATATTTATTGGGTTTAAAATAAATATTGATCAATTTTTGTAAATTTTTAAGTATGATCCAATATATTTTATATTTTTAAATCACTATAAACTGAGTTTTTTACATTTTATTTTAATAATTAATGACTTTATATTATCCAAAAAATTCATCACTAACTATTATATACAAAATAAACAATGACAAAAGTAATAGAATAAATAAGAGCCTAAATATATATATATATATACATATTTTAACCAAGTCAAATAGATAATGACCACATTTATTATTATTATTATTATTATTATTATTATTATAATCAAACAATATATAGATAGACACACAAACAAAATGGTTGAGTGATAGCAGCTGAATAGAATAGCATAAGTCTTACAATTTCAACAAATCAATAACATGTTCTTCATCTTCCCTCTTCTCTCTCTATCTCTTGCTCCTCCATCTTCTCTCTTTATCTTCCCTCTTCTCTCTATCCTTCTTTCACCATTTTCAGCTTTTTTTGGTGTGTTTTTTTCGAAAGAAACAGTTCGGAACCATTACGACTGTTACAGCACCGTTACAACCGCTACGGCAGCCGCTACAGCCGACACACCTGTAAATCTCAATCACACTGCAAAAGCGGCCGTAACGGGTGGCGGTAACTACCAAAACTAGGGCTGTTCAAAAATCCTTTCAAACCGGTAATCCAGATCGAATCAGACCGAATCATACGGTTTGGTTCGGTTCTATTAAGAATTGGTTCGGTTTCGGATTAAGAAATATGAGAACCGTAAAAACGGTTCGGTTAATGGATTTTATGAAAAAACCGTGGTTCGAACCGAACCGAATTTTAAAAGATATATATATAATATCAAGTTTTATTTTTATTAATTGGTTTTTTATAATTTTAATGATATGATGATAGTATAGATATGTAGTATTAAGTAATGCCTTCATATTATTAGTTTTTATCATGAGTTAAATGTAATTAGTTTGAGTAATTATTTTGCTAATATTAACAATTTATTCTTGTAAATAGAAATTTTTGGAACCGTAAACCAAACCGAAACCGAACCGTTTTTTCAGTTTGGTTCTGGTCCGGTTTTACAAGTGTAACGGTCTGATCTGGTTCTCAAAATCACAGAACCGTTAAGATCGGTTCGGTTCTTGGATTTTCTCAGAACCGAACCAATCCGGACCGTGTACACCCCTAACCAAAACCGTTACGTAACGGCGTTACGTAACCGTTGCGGCAGCTTTTTAAAACCATGGTTCATGCAAAAATAATATGATAAAATGAAGACACACCACAATCCTCACTCAAATTAAAATGTAGCATGAGAAGTGCTAACATAGTTTAGAATACATAATAAATGATTATCATACAGGAGTCTCCCCATATAACATAATGCAACTATTAGCACACAGACACACCCAGGAATTATACAAAATGCAAGTTAACAATGCCAAACCTCATAAAAGAGCTCCAAAACACTCAAAGCTGCGAGTGTGTCATTCACATTGCTTATCTCTGCCTCTAATGGACTAAGAAGATTTGAGTTGTAAACTACAGTGGCTACAGAGCTGGAAATAGAGAATAGCTTCACAATTAAAGCTAAAACCCGAACCCGTCCCTGAAACATGTTGAAGGACAAGAAAACATTCAGAGAAACAATTGCCAGATAATCTCAATTTTCATAGAGATTGAGAAAGACCATAACCAGCACACTCATTGAGATTTAAATAAAACTTATGCCTAATGTACTTGGTAACTTTTTAAGGAAGAAGCCCTCGGCAATATAATTCAGTAGAGATGACCTTTTTTATAATTAACTCAAGGACACCGACAAAAAGGTTCACATTTGACACGATTACATTACAAGGCTAAGACAGTAAACAGAAATGGTATGAAACTATCACATGGTGGCATGTCTAAATTCACATATGCTTATACATGGCCAAAATGTTCAAGATCAGCATGTTTTGATTATATGGAAAATTCGATTTAGCCATCAATAATAGTACAGGCTCAAGAATTAACAGCCACAATTATAAGAAAACTGCTCATTGATATGAACACTTTGTGTTGAATGCTGCCTAAATTTCATAAACCTAATTTATCAATTATGTAGTATCAACTATGATACCAGTGATGAGCATCCTGCTGCTACATTTCTGAGGTGAGTAGCTTCATTGGTATTAGCTGGAAAGATGATGTCCTGCAACAAATTAGCAAGAAAATAAAACAAAATAAACATCAGGATTCATAGAAAATGATCATGCTATTCGGTGCAAGACAAAAAGAAGCTTTGAAGTTGTGATTATCTTATGTTCTAAAGAAAATAAAACCGAAAAAATTAAAAAGCTTTCAACTCAAAGCAGACAAATCCTTACCATTCCTTCTGCAGAGCCAGCAAAATTCCTAATTGCATCCATTGCTGCAGCGGCAACTTGTTCATCGCTACAGACAACAAAGCAATTGATTTCACATCCTTTACTTTTTTGCATGATTTATGAAACAAAATGGCATGCAGAGAGCAAAATAAAGAAGATACTATGAAGGTGACTACTACCATATTGATAGTAGTAATTTTTATTTTTTTTGGGGACAAAACATTGATAGTTGTATGATAACAACATCTGTCCAACAAACACTGAGCAACTATAAATTAAAATATAGAACATTAATAAATCTCCAAGTGCTTTCTACACCGCTGTGCGACCCTCATTTCAGACCCCTTTAACGGGTGACAATGCTACAAAACTCTCTGCTAGCTACTTATCCAAAAGAAAGAAGAAAGTTTGCGCTAGCTACATCACAAATTTAACATCTGGAACGAGACTCTTGGTTTCCTTCTTGGAAATAAAGGTAAATCAGGTGTCAGCCATATTTTTTAGAGAGCACAATTACTCAAGTTTCCTATCTTTATGGAGTCAATGTTGCAAATAGAGCTCAGTATGACCTTGACCTCTAGGAAACAAAAGAAGAACTTAAGGTGATAATCACAACATGATTCGATGGATTAACAAAGGGATTCACATGTTAAACAAAATCAATGAGTCTTTTGAATCAATGAATCTTATGAGGATTTTGAAAATTTTGCTTGGTTGCAGTCCAAAATCAACCAACAAGATCATTTGAAGGTCTTGAAAAATTCCCTCAATTGCCTCTACCTGAATGATTGTCAATCACATAAGATTTTGCCTTCATTTGGTTGCAGTCCAAAATCAACCAACGACATCATTTGAAGGTTTTGAAAAATTCCCTTAATCACATAAGATTTTGCTTTCATTTACGGGGAGAGAGAGAGGGAGAGAGGGAGAGAGAGAGAGATCATCTAAACTTTCTGGCAACAAGAATATTCTGAAACAACATGAAGTCTATAGCACATGTCAAAACCAACTTCATGATAAATTGTGCACCTGTCTATTCTCTTGATACTGTAATTACCCAGACATAAGTCCTTCCAATTTTCAAAAAACCCCTTCCAATCTTTCTGATCTACCTTCTGGATACAAGGTAAGGGATTAAAAACAAATACCACTAGAGAGGAGCACAAGCTAAAATGTGAACATACTGCATATCCTAATGGCACAACCATCCAACGTCCAGTGAAAGGGAATATGATGAAAATATTATAAGAATAAATATCCAGCATCCAACATAAAGTTTGGACAAGAGGCTGACTTCCAACAAGAATGCTAAGTGTCTTGGACCTTCACCTCAAAACAACATGAAATGCAACACAGATGTAGCTAGATTCTAATTCACTGTAGATCCATCACTTGATATATATGTATGTGTGTGTGTGTGTGTCTGTGTGTGTCATTCAGCTGAGTCCTTAACACGTTTCACACCTTAAAGCATTCCCATTAACCAAAAAGTAAATGACAATGAGAAAAACTCTTTATCATTAGTGAGTTAAGTAAATTACAAACACAATAGAAAAGCCAAATGCAACAAAAAATAATAATAATAATAATAATAATAATAATAATAATAATAATAATAATAAATTGAATATTCTGGCAGCTTACCCATCAGTTAGGCACTTAAGCAAAAGTGGATACACATCATACTCAATAACTAGCCGTGCAGCAGAAACGGTGGTTTCATCAGAATTCTCCAAAAGGCAAGAAACCTGCTCAGAGTTATCATGATGCCAAAGCCAGTTAAAACAATTGCCTTTATTTGGTGTATTACTAAACCAAAACAATAGCTTAAAATTTGCCCGTCTCCAACAACTTCAGAAAAAAGTAAGTACGATGATAAAGCTGAGATCGTTATAAATGTACGTACTGTTTTACAAGCGACACATCTGACTTTTTGAGAATCTGCCCCCAGACCAACTACTATAAAAGGCTGGAAAAAAGAAGATAGCAGAGATAGCTCATAAGTATAAGATCAATCATATTGTTTAACAAATTAAATCAAGAGAATCAGAACATAAATCTTTATCTCTAAGGGATTAAATAACGTGTAGAATCTGATGGAATTGAACAGAATCCATGGAAAATTGTTAATAAGCGATAGGTTCTTTGTAGCTGACTGAGATGTGATCCCTCACAATCATGAACAAACAAAATTAATTATCAGAAAGATTCATGTAGCTAGTGGCGGAGACAGAAACCTAAATCAAAAGGGGCATTTATTAAGTTTTTACTAAATTTGAGTAAAAATTTCATATAATAGTGATATCACATCATCATTGACATATGATATCAACCAATAGTAAAGCAACATATGAAGGGTGAATTCTACATGCAAATATAACTAACACTCTAGTAACTTTTACATATATATATATATAGTGAGATTAATTATATTTACATATCAATAATGATGGATATTACTTTTATATTGGGATTTTTTCACAAAATTTTCATATATAAAAAAATAATTTGTTGTAGCCCTTCATTTTCAATAAAATAATCACTATTGTTCTCATAAATTTAGAAATGCCATTGACATTTTATTCTAAATATTATTTTTGTTTAAGATTTTATTTATATACATATATAAAAAAACTAAAAAAAATTGTAAATCCAAAACCAGGGGGAGGGGCATGTGACCCCCCATGGCCTCCATGTAGCTCCGCCACTGCATGTAGCCAGTCTCGTTTGATAGGAGTTAAGGCTTGATTTGGTTTGGTTTGCTTTAGCCTAAAACCACCAATAAGTGAGCAATAAGTATTCCAGACAGCATCCCAAAGATCAGTGATTCTACAATAGCAGCTTAAATTTGCAAGTTAGCACCCAACCTTTCCCTAAGAATTTTGCAAACAGAGCTTGCCCTAGTACTAATTTCATGTCATCAAAGACTTTGCACTCAAACATGAGAAAACTCAAGTGAGACTCAACAAGATTTACATACAGGGAATTAGTAATGAGATCCATAAATAGTGATGACATTTGCACAGTACCATCTACATGATCATATGTTAAAGACATGTCAGTTCTTATTAGCAGTTCTTATTAGCATAAAATTACGAAGTGAAATATAATTATGTGCTTACAATCATTATCATGCTAACTAAATTATGTACTACAGAATTGCAAACCATGAACTTTGCATATTGATCGTGTAAGAAATATAAAATCTAGACAAAAAGCATTCCCCTGTAATATCAGGGGCAATCTCATTTTACCTCTAGCAATTAGTTTGGTTGAAAAACCAATTGACAGCCACAAAGCACCAAACAGAAAATCATATTACTATGTATTGGCAAAAAACCATGAAGTTTAAGTGGATCTCTTAAGTTTTCAGAATGCATGCCTGCCTGTTTCATAACAGAAATTAATCATTTCATGTGTAATTGTGGAAGAAGATGTTGGGTCTTTGCAGTCCACACTCCGTCCTTTGTCATTAACCGGGGTTTCTTATTCTCAATTTGAGAAAATCTAATTGTATTGAATTTGAGATTTTTTACCACTTTTCTTGTTCAGTAAAAAAAATGCAGTCATATTCCCAATGTTCAACTAGAAAATAGAAGCACCGGTTGATCATTGCAAATAGTCTCCCACTTAATATTGTATTTCAGTATCGGGAGCCCACCAAAAAGAGCAATATACATTACAAGTGGCATGAAAGAACGACAATTTGTCAAAGAAACTACATATACCATGTACTGTGGAATGAGGGAGGCCCCATATTTTGTCTTAAATATCCTCTCCAGACAAGCAACCAAAGCATTCTCAAGACCAGGCACATCCCCTTTCGTTTGTAAAGCACTGCAAGCATGATCATACTATCATGAAACAAACTCAAAAATTTTAAGGGTTAATTGCACGGACAACACGTCAACTATCACTGAATATCATACTCCTACCCTTCTCAACTTTAAAACCATACATTGGACCACCCACCTATAAAATTATATCACTCTCACCGCTCCATGGGGCATTTGTACAATTTTATATAATTGACGGGGCTAAAGGTAGGGTTTGGAAATTGAGGGACCAAAGTAGGGTAGGATTTTATAGTCGATGGGGCTAAATGATTTTTTTATGGTCGACCAGAGTGATTAATTGAGAGAATGTCCGTGCAATTATTTATTAACACAACTTTTAACATCAAATTTTATAATGATTTTGAGTTATACATAAACAAATTCTAAGTAACTGAACTGCAAGAAATCAAGAACATGTCGATATCATTGAATTAAAGTAATATATGTATCTGTATGTGTGTATAGGTAGAGAGAGATGAAGAGGGTTACTTGATGATGACTGGAAGGGGGAAGCGATCAAGGAATTCCTTTGTAGAAGAGTCAGATTGAAAACCTGATAGATGACAAGATAGAAGGGAAAAGGTTATATATATATATATATAGAGAGAGAGAGAGAGAGAGAGAAGAAATGTGAAGTGCAAGGAGTGTGAAGAGTGGATTACCGGGATGAAATGCGAAATCGGAAGCTGAGATGAGTAGCAGAGTAGGATCGCTAACTGAGTATTCCTCTTCCATGGGCCTACCTACCTACACAAAGAAGACGATGGAGAGGAAAAGAGAGGAATGGAGAGAGGCGTGCAATAACCTGACTACTAAAACCAGCAATGTTGGCCCGAAATTTAGTGATTCGAATAGCTTGAAATTGTCGGTTGGTGGCCCGAAATTTACAATGACGTTGTTTTGAACATAAAATAAGTAAAAACGATATCATGTTTTGACAGTTTTAAATTATTTGAGTTATTGATTTTGTGACGTTTAAATATTTTTCTTATTAAAATTCAGTTGGCAAAAAAAAACTTTATTAAAATTTTAAAATGGGTAAAATTGCTTTAAATCCTTAAATTATGATTTTTTTATATTTAAGAAATATTTGAGATCTTAAAAATAAGGTTTCTTATATACTGACATGGATAGGCCCACAAGACTTACGGCCCACAGCAAACAACCTCAAACCCATCGCTTGGGACCCATAGCATAACCCAGTTGGCAAAGCCCAGGACAGCTGGAGGCCACCTGGACATGGAGGGCCAATGGCATTCGGGCACATGGCAGGTGAAATACAGGCCACATCAGCAGACAAAGATCTGCAGAGTTATTGCCACAACACATCACCATTAATGCAGCCCATCACAGCATTTATTACGACAACACCCCCCGTCGGAACAGAGCCCCCTCACCCTGAACAAGGCAAGCTACGGCACAGGCTTTCGGTGGAACGGGGCACGTCACAAGAGACAGTGAAATGATTACCAAAAGATATTAAATGTGGAAAACAAGAAAAAGGTTAAGCTTTTCTCTCTCTCTCTCTCTCTCTATTTTTCCTTCTTCCTCTACTGATTCGCTCGCCGGAGGGTTCACTGGGGGACTACCCCGTTCCCCTTTAGACTTGCTTGCAGGTCATCTGGTGGAATTATCAGCCTGAATCGGAACTTGAAGAGCTTGGACCAGCCAGACCCATCCACCCGGGACGGACTGCATTATCAGTTGGCGCTGTCTGTGGGAAGTTTGTGGTTTATTGGTGCGCTAGTTGTGTTCACTATCGCCGGAGCCCTCCTTCCTCACCGTTACCTTTTCCTCTCACCCGTCCAGGTGTATGGTCACGACTAGGTCCATGGCTTCTCACCATAATACCGCCGATCATCAAACAGACCCTTCCCATCCAAATAACCCACCACAATACATCATCGAACTTACTAACAGCATTAACCGCATGGCCGAGCAAAACCAAGCCCTGATCAGTGCTTTACTCCAAAGAAACCTCCCCGCTCCACCTCCAGATATTCCACCCAACCAAGAAAGAACCCCTGGCCACATTGCTCCACAACCCCCTCCGCTCAACCCAGAAGGTTTACAACCCCCTCCTCCTCCACATATAAGCCTGCCACCTCCACCTCCACGCCCGTCAGTCGTGGTGCTAGCCCCTGAGGGGGAAGCCAGCAGTGTCCAGCCTCCATTAACCGACCATGGCGACAACATTCCCCTCTGGGACGCTGAACTCCGCGCCATGAAGCTCCAACTACAAGGGGTCATGCAGAACATCCAGCACAAGCCCTCAGTCACCGCAAACTCGCCTTTTGTTGCCTCCATCCGCGACAAACCATTGCCCGCCAAGTTCAAAATGCCCACCATTGACTCATTCGATGGCACGACGGACCCAGTCGACCATCTGAAAACCTACCGCACCCTCATGATCCTCCATGCTTTCCCTGACAAGATCATGTGCCGAGCTTTTCCCGTGACACTGAAAGGATCAGCTCGGTTGTGGTTTAGCCAGTTACCGGCGGACTCCCTCTTCACCTTTCAACACCTCAGTGACTCTTTCCTGAGCCATTTTATCGGAGCCCAGCGTCAGAGACGCCCAGCCACCCAACTCCTTAACATTCGTCAGACCGAGGGGGAGTCGCTCCGTAGCTTTGTCACCTGCTTCAACACCGAAGCCCTTCAAGTAACGGAGAATGACGACAAGGTCATCCTCACGGCTTTCATGGCCGGCCTGCGGTCGTCCGATTTTCTTTTCCCCCTCTCCAAAAACCCTCCAACCACCATGGCTGCCCTACTATCCAAAGCCCAGAAATACATGAATGCTGAAGATTCTCTGGCTGCTCGGCAAGAGCCGATCACTAAAAATCTGACCCCCAGAGACAAGAGGAAAGACTCAGAACCCAGGACCGCCCAGTATAATGGCCAAACACCCCACTATAATGACCGACCCCACCGAGCCGACCGGTCGGCTCCGACCCGACTGCCCGGTCGATTCGAGCGGTACACACCACTCAACTCCCCCATGGAGCACATCCTCAATCAGATCCAGCGGGACTACCCCCTCAAGTGGCCCCTACCTTCACGAAACTCTTCCAAGCGCAAAGATCAGTCCAAGTACTGCCGTTTCCACCAAGACCATGGCCATACCACCGATGAGTGTATCAACCTCAAAGATCAGATCGAGACCTTCATACGTCAGGGCCGCCTCAGCCGATTCACAGACACCCGCCCTCAACAGAGGCAAAGAACCGACCTTCCCAGGAACAATCGCCGACATACACCACCCCGCAATCAAGCCCCACCCAACCAAGGCCACGATCGCCCACCACCACAGCCTCGGCCTCTAGGCAATCCCCCTCCACCAGTCGGAGAAATCAGAGTCATTTCAGGTGGCTTCGCTTGCGGGGGACCATCCCGCTCGGCTCAGAAGGCAGAGCTCAGAAAAATCAGGCAGGGTTCAGACAAAGCAGTGGCGACGGTGGACCGACCTTCCAAACAGTCAAAACAGTGGATCGAACCCATCACCTTCACAGACACCGACTGTGCAGGAGTCCGTTACCCACATGATGACCCCCTTGTCATTTCCGTCATCCTCTCCAACTACAAGGTCAGACGGGTCCTCATAGACAACGGCAGCTCTTCAGATATCATCTTCCTCAATCGCTTCCGTCTCCATCGGCTCCATTGATCTACCTATCACCATTGGCGAACACCCGAGGCAGACCACTAAGTTGCTCACTTTCCTTGTGGTCGATTGCCCCTCTGCTTACAACATCATCCTTGGCCGCACAGCCCTAAACGCCTTCCAAGCCATCATATCCACCTATCACCTTGCCATCAAATTTCCTACCGATCTCGGTGTCGGAACTGTCAAAGAAGAACAGACCGTGGCCAGGGAGTGTTATGTCGCCTCACTCAAAGAAGTCAAACTAAAAGAGGCCATAATCATCGAAGGGCTTGACGTTCGAGACGAGGAAGAGCTGGTCAGAGGTGAACCCGTGGAGGAACTTGTTGAAGTTAACATTGATCCCACCAACCCAATCAAAACCGCAAAAATTGGCAGCCAACTACCTTCCCAAGCCAAGGCCGACCTTACCGCTCTCCTGACCGAGCACAGAGATGTATTTGCCTGGACCCATTCTGACATGCCAGGCATTCACCCCTCCTTTATAACCCACCGCCTCAACATCGAACCCCACTTTCGACCCCACCGCCAGAAGCAACGCATTTTCCATCCGGAGCGCAACACTCTTATAGCTGCAGAAGTTGACAAGCTCCTCGAGGTCCAATTCATCAAAAATGTGGACTACCCTAGATGGTTGTCCAACGTGGTCCTCGTCCGCAAACACAAAGGCAAATGGCGACTCTGTGTCGATTACTCTGACCTGAACCGAGCTTGCCCCAAAGACAGCTACCACCTTCCCCGCATAGATCTGCTGGTCGACGCCACGGTCGGTCATCAAATGCTCAGCTTCATGGATGCCTTCTTTAGGTATAACCAAATCCTGATGCACACATCTGATCGGGAACACACATCATTTATTACCGACCGAGGTACATACCACTATTGTGTAATGCCGTTCGGGTTGAAGAATGCTGATGTAGACACCCCATTTTTGACCGTCCTCAAGACTTGGACGTCACCATTGAAACACTTGGTGATTACCCTTGTTTGTGTTCGTTTGGAGTTCCCGGAGGTCTCGGCTACGCGCCTTGCCTCAGGATCTCCGAACTTGACTGTTTAGTGTCTGGTTTTGCACCAAACACTTGTGTTTTGCCTTGGAGGGGCAGGGAATGCCTTGTGAGGCGTCCCCACACATCACCGGCCATGGCCAGAGGCCACCGGCTGGTGTTTTGCTGCCATCGGCAATCTATATTGCCGGTCGGCATTCTTTGTTACCGGTCGGCACTCCATTTTGCCAAAATGGCATTTTTGGGCAGCCGACTACTGTTCATCTGCTTTTGCAGATATTTTATTACAGCTGTCTTGCATTTGGCTCCCCTCCATACACGTGTATGGAGGGATCTCTCTCTTTAGAAGCTTGTCTTGTAAGCTTTACAAGACAATAAGCTCTATAAGAGGAGCCCTCCTCTCCCTTGTTTAGGTTAGAGATTTTAGACAGCCATATTAGGTTATACCTCTCTCTTTTTACCTTTGTGTGTGTTTAAGTGTGTTTGTGTCTTACTATTGCACACAAACACATAGTGTTTCACCTTCCCTTAGCTACTGAGGTTCTAAGAGGTTGTTTTTGAGGTTTTGGAGCTGGTTTCAACCGAAAAGAGGCTGCTGGTCCACCATTGTTAAAGGGGTCTTCAAGGGTAAGAAACTAGTCCCTTTATTCCCCATTCTTGCATACTTGTTTTGCCTATCTTAGAACTATTTTTGTGCTTAGTGTATAACATAAAAAAAGTTCTATTTTTAGGCCCTCTAAATAGTTTGTTTAGAGTGTTTTGTGGTTTGAGGGTGTTTGACCCCTCTTAGGCCTTGAGAGGCCTCATTTTGTCCTTATTTTGAGTGAGCTCCGAGACCTTGGTGTTTGGCCTCCTCACCACTGAAATCTTGAGGGATTTCAGAGGTGAGGATGGTGCCTTGAGGTCCCAAGAAGGAGAGGGCACCCCCTCTCCTATTGTCCTTGAAATGGACCATTTTTGGCCTCTTAAGGAGCATCTAGCTAAGCTTCATTTTTGGCCTATTATATCATAATATGCCTCTGTTTATTGTTGGTTTGGTACACCATACATGCTTAGCATACTTACCTTGTAATGCCATGTTTAGGCCCTAACATGCCTTAAGTTGTAAACCTTTGTTCTAGCATGTTTTAGGCTTAGTTTTGTGAAGCTTCT